GAAAGGGCAAATCCCAGAGCTAAGAAAGCACAACCTTTGTACCTTGCTCCTCCCTTTGTTGTTAAGACACCATTGACTCTGGAGGCAGTAAAGATGATTCAATTTGCTTTTAGTAGTAAGCTTCCTGGAAGGTACCTCCCGAAATCATTACAAGTAAGATTAGATCATATTTGTAGGATGTTTTTGGTATTTGTCTTATTCTAATGTTGTGGTGTTTGAACTTGGTCTTGTATAACAGTGACATATTTGTTAGTCTTGATTGCGGAGTTCTTCCCTTGCTCCGTGAAGATTTGGTCCAACTTTTGCCCAGGACCAAACTTTCGACAAGGGTGAGTTCCTTTATGTGTGTAATTTAGTGATTGAACTTGTATTGCTGACTTTGGTATATGTGATGATGATGCATTAGATTATAGAAATGGTGTGTCTGTGCAAGACACTAGAAGAACGAAGTTGTGGTCGCAGTGGTGGCTTGTCTTGGTTCTTTCCACCTTCAGTTTCGGTACAGTTGTCTGCTTTGTCTATTCTTGTCATGCAATTAATCTATTTGTTTGTTACATGTAGCTTGTGTGGGTAACTGCGTTTTATTTTTCTAGGATCGTGCATATCATTGCAACGAGGAGCAATTTATGGCTACCATGGGTTCATATAAGATACTTGAGCGATACCGTATAAATGATCTACTTTACTGCAGTAAGGTATGTTGTAATGTTGTTTTCTAAAAGGAAATTGCTTAACCCTCCTATGTTAAATTGATAATTATTGTTTGTTTGTGCATTATTTCAGATTCATGTCCCAATTTTCAACCTCACGTTGACCCACTTCTATCCGGCGGTCTTTAACTTGGAAACCAAAGAAATTGAAATATGGGACTCGTTACCAGGAACTCATAACCAAGAATATGATGCAAGGATGCAGAAACTGGTTTGCTGCTTGTCTTGTTCTTCACGTTTTCAAACTTGCCTTATTGCTTAGTTGTTAGTTGTTTTTCATTTTCCGATTTTGTCATTAAATATCGATTAGGGGGATGTTTTCATTTGCAGAAATTGGGTCTAGACTTGTTGCTTAAAGATAATATATGCGGGGAGTTTTTATTTGTGGAATTTGTGGTTAGATATCGCCAGGATGTTGCTTACCAACCAAATGGGTATCCTTTGTTGTTGTTCAATTGTGCACTGTTCTAATTAAGTTCGGTAATTATTTGTTCGCATCATGACCATGGTAATTATTTGTTATTTTACAGATTTGATTGTGGACTATTTGTCGCCAATTACTTGCTGGATCCAGATCGATATTCCAAGAATCTTGACCAGTTCGACAGTGACTATGAACGGGCACAACTTACTATGTACATGCTCACTACGCGTTTGAATGAGGTGCAAGCTACAGTTAAGGCACAATCAGATGAATATTTTGAGAGTCATGCGAGACCTGCCCAAATTGATAATTATAATATTTTTTATTTTTTTTGGTAAAAACCAGTTGGACATTAAAATAGATTAAATTTTATTTTATTTATTATTTCTCAATTGCCACGTCACTAAGTTAACGGTCAACTTTGAGAGTTGACTGCCACATCAACAAAACTTAACGGAGTTGGACGGAGAGTCACCAAACGTGAACGGTTTCAGTAAACTGAAGTACCACCAATGGATTTAAATATTTCGAGTGACCAAACTTGAACGTTTTTTATAATCTTAGTGACCAATCATACAATTAACCCTTAAATGAATTGAAAAGTTATCGAGATAACTAGTGGACAAAATCAATATCAATAATTACAATCCTTGTGTATTTTAGTTTGTTTGCTTATTAAGCGACAATATTGTTATGCTATGTGTTACAATTACAAGTGTTTGAAGATCTTTTTTGGCTACAATCTATACCAAAGATTAACTTTGTGGTGCGATTATTGATGAACAGACTACATTATCCACAACTAGTCCACAATCTCTCTAGATGGCCTCATCATATACCACACATTATATTCCATCTAACTCGAGTCAAAATGGTAGTAAGGCCTTCGAATTGGCAAGAACAAGTCCGAGTAAGGTTCGAGTAAGAGGAGCAAAAACGCTAGAAGAATCAAATGAAACCAAATTTATAAGATGTCATGTTCCATGTGTATTTGTGTAGACACATATAGAGTTACAACTCAGGCAAATTCGTAGTTAGTACATACTCCGTTTAATACACGTATATGTATCCGTACGTACTTTATCCGTTTAAAACTTCCGTATCCGTATTATTGCCAAGCCATTTCATTTTTGTCCGTTCATTTGATGGCTCTCGTATTAAACCCGTATAACACGTTTAGTATCCGTATGTAATGAATTAAATTATTAACTTTACTATTATTAAAATAATTATTTATTTTAGAAATAATTAATTTTTCTATATTTATGACAATTAACGTACTATTAAACGTAACATTAGTATAGAGACGAAGTAAAATACTCTTAGGTATTTTATACGTAACTTTCCCGTACTGTATTTTACTAAGGCAAAATACACTTGTGTAGCCAAAACTTTCACGTTTATGCCACTTATAGCCACTTTTGGCGAAATACCACTTATAGCCACTTCCATCCAATTCTTTAACGCTTTTAACGTTAAGTGTGACTGGACAAACGGACAGGCTTACGTGGCCCGTACTTATTTCCCCTTTTCTTTCTAATTGTACACGTGGATAATAAATAATTAAAAAAAACCAAAACCCCTCATTGACCCACCCACCTTATCCTTTGTGGATTTAACTTTAAAAAGTACAAAATAAGAAAAAATAAAAATAAAAAATCTCCTCATCTTCTCTGATGCCCTGTCTCTCTAGGTTCGGCGGCGACTAGCATCCACCTCTCCTTCTCTTCGCCTTCGAAGACCACAACCGCAAGTCGGCCTCTAGAAGAATCGTGCTTGTTTGTGCTCTTCCTGCAAGTCCGCCATCAAAGTTTCGAGATCTGGGTGGCGATTGTTATTCCGCGATGAGTTCCTAATCGACAGGAAACATCCACTGCTGCTGATCGAAGGAGAGGGAGAGACTAGAGAGCCTCTCTTTTTAATGGCAAATTGCTGCAGGGAGGAGAGTTTAGGGATTTGCGGTGGAGGAGGAAGCAAGATTTCCGAATCTCAACCCAGATCTACACCGCCGCCTAAAATCATGTTATCCGCTTCTGCCTTCTCGTTTATTTCCCAATCTCAACCCCTCTCTCCCACAGAAACACACTCGTCGGAGCTTACCACACTTCCGCTCGCTTTTTCTCTTGGTAGCAGAGGATCGACGAGCAGCGGCAGGGCGAAAGGCGAAGGCCTAGTCCATGGAATAGTAGCTCTGCGATAGGGAAACATGCAAAGAACCACACCGACGAAGATGGTGATGGCGAAGAGGAGAGGATGAAGTAGATCGAAATAATGAGGAAGCAGCCCACGATTCAACACTAGGGTCGCCGATTGACCAGCAGAGCCAAATCACTCTCCGAGGCTGAATCGATCGCAGCAGACATCAAATCTACCGCGGCGGCGGAGGTGGATTATGTGATTGCTCTGGCGAAATTATCTGCGGCGGCGGTTGGGACGTCATCATCGGAACCGGTGGTTGCAGTGACGGCGAAAATACGGAGGAGATCGTTTGGTGTAGGGGTTTGGTCATGGCGTAAAGTGGGTACGGGGAATTGTACGTGGTGGAGGTTTCCGATTTGAGATTCGATTTTTGGCCGGAGCTCTCATTTTCTAGGATACTAGGTTGAAGGTGGGAGGTTGGGGAAGAAGAAGGAGATGGAATGGGGAAAGGGGCAGCCTGGTGACGTGGGGGAAGTTTTCTGATTTGAGATGGTATTGCAGGTGGCGATGGTTGTTGTGTGGCCATGGGAGGAAGAAGGGAAACTAGATCTGGCCGGAGAGATGAGAGAGGCATGGTATATTAGATTTTCCATTTTCATTTAATTTAAAATGTGATATGAGGTTGGGGAAAAAATTGATTATTGTATTTTTATGATCTTTCCTTTTTTTTAATAATTTAATGTAGTAATTAAATATTAAATAATTAAAATATCTGACGTGTCACTATTTGCTTAGTTGTCGCTGACGTGGTTGATGATTTGGCGCCTCGTCAGCCAACCGTCAAATAAGTTAACGAAGTTATTAACACCGTCATAGTTTCTAACGGAAATGACTATATTTGGCACGCAACATCTTTCAAAAGTAGCTATAAGTGGTATTTCGCCAAAAGTGGCTATAAGTGGCACAAACGTGAAAGTTTTGGCTATGCAAGTGTATTTTGCCTTTTACTAACTATGCGCAAATTCACTTGCCTGGTTGTCTTTCTAGCTATGAAAATACAGTTAGTAAGTAATTTAGCTATGATTCGGTCTGGTTATTATATTAAATGTACAATTTTGTTAAGAGCCGAACTAAAATAAAAAATTTACCAAATTCAAGAACTGAATTCGAACGCAGAAATTCATACTTCGATTCAATCTATTGCAGTACAACATGAACCAAATCGATGCTCATAGTCACAGGCAACAAATAAGAAAGATAGTTAACATAAAAATAAATCATCGATAAATAAATTTTTTTACGATAAAATGTGTAACCTCTTATCTCGTATCTAAAAAATAAAATGAAAGACAACTTAATAGAATTTTCAGTTAGTGAATACTCACTACAAACTAAGCAAGGTATCCTTCAACTAGGAATGTAAGTAAATAGCCCTACACAGCTAGTAAAAAAAATCAGAAAATACATTCTCGAAGGTAAATAAGGAAGAATCATAAACCAGGTACCATTCATGTTTGATACTCTGCTATTATGAACTTCCCTTCTTCCATTCCGCCATTGGATTCCATTCCACCATATCTCCTGGTAAAAGAACAAAATCCGACCGTCAAAGGAAACCCGCACCAACGCTCCACTACCCAATCTTCCAACCATTCTCCATATAAATTCTCAAACCCACTTCCCCAGAATTCCAACATCACACCCCCAAAAAAAAACCCCTCTTCCAAATGGCGCCCAAATTACCCTGCTTCCTCGCTCTGCTCCTCCTCCTGTCCTCCTCCGCCGCCGCGGCGGAACGGCTGCATCCACAGTGGGCAGCGGGTTGCTGGAACGAGATCTGCCAGGTCCCCGACTGCCTATTCAGCATTCTCAAGGCCTTCCTCCCCAAAACCGGCGGCGGATCGCCCATCGACGCCGTCAGTGTGCCCTGTTGCTCTGCTTTCCTGACGCTGACAGAGGATTGTCAGGTGGAGATTTTCCAGAACAGCTCTGTTATTACCTTGATCCAGACCTTCTGCTCCGCCGTCGTGCCGCCGCCTGTGGCTCCTGGGCCTGGGACCGGTGGCGACATGCCGTGGCCCTGGCCCAGCACTCCGGTCGCCCCTGGCCCTGGAAACGACGGAGACATGCCGTGGCCGGGGGCTCCGGCGGCGGGCCCTGCATCTGGTGGTGATGAAGCTGATGCGGATTCAACTTGGCCCACTGTTCGTTTTGTTTAGAGTTTGAAGGAGATTTGGAATAAGTTTGTGAGAGAGGGCAAAAATATGTATGCCACAATTGGGTGGGGATTTTTTTTATGAGTAATAATTCCAGTTAATTGTTCTTGTTTGTTGTTAGTTAGTTTTCTAAGTCAAGTCACAATAGCTATCAAACATTTGCGTTAGATAAATCCACAATATATGGATTTATCATAGTGAAATATGATTCTCATGTGTTTTAGATAATTTGCATTTAAATAAAAAACATTTTGCAATAAGTAAACATCTCGTAGTACTCGACTACTCGCGAGTTTGAACATCTCGTAGCCCTTTGTTAATAAATGATGAGACCAAATTCTATAAGGATTAAAGTGTAACTTTCATGACATCCAAGGTCTAGAATCGAACCAAAACCGAAAAAGTAAAAAAAAAAAAAAAGATTCCAACTAGTTTCACAATGAAATTGACCCAAATCATAAACGGTCCACAACATGCCGAAGCACTACAAGAAATACTTATAAACAACGCACATGAATCATATATGATATTCTCATGTGTGTTTGATCCATTTCATATGCCCTCCATCTTTCGTACCTATCTCTCCAACTCGCATCTCAATATGAATTTCCTTTCGTATTGCATCGCAAATGGCTTCTCGAGTTATTGCATCGCAAATGGACCCCCTCGATTTTAACTAGCCATATTCATTCCAAAGGGGAGATAGAAGAGGACAATCAAGCATAAAAAACAACTCCAAACTCACATGTGATCCAATCACATCCCAACAAAGAAACAAAACTCAGCTAAACAAGAAGGGAAAAACAACCCCAAACCAACAGCATCAGAATCCCATTTCCCTGAACTTCAACCCCTCCGCTGACATCCACCGTCGGCGGATCAATCGGACCAGCAGGGGCCGCCGCGGCCACGGCAGGCGAGCCCGCGTCGTCGGAGCAAGCATTTGGCAAGGGAGCTCCGCACAATCCAGAATTCCCCAAAAAGCTGTCAGCTCCAAACTTCCCCGCCCCGTCAGGAATCCTGCCCTGAAACCTGTTGTCCGACACATTGAAACCCTGCAGACTGTCAAAATTCATTACCGGCACCGACCCGCGGAGCCGATTTTCCTGAGCAAGAAAGTTTCGGAGAAGCATCAGCCTGCTCAGGTCAGGAACCTCCCCTGTCAGCCGATTGCCCGAAATTTCGAGCTGCAACAGAGTAGTCATGTTTGCAACCGTATCGGGAACCGAACCGGTGAACCGGTTTCCGCTCAGGTCCAACCAGATGAGACTGTGGCAGTTTCCGATCCCACTAGGGATGGACCCTGTCAGGTTGTTGTTCTTCAGCTTCAGGACGAGAAGCGACTCGGCCCTGCAAGCCGAGGCCGCGTCCAGGGTTCCACTGAGGTTCAGCCCTTCCAGGACGACGGTCCAGACGAGCCCGGTGTTGGGGTCGCACGTGACCCCGACCCATTCGCACGCGTCGGAGGTCATGTTCCAGCGCTTGCTGATGGCTTTGTTTCCTCCTGACAGCTTTTGTACGAAACGGATTAGGGATTTCTTGACGCCTTCCTGTTCTTCTGAGTTTGAGGTTGGGGAGAAGAGGAGGATGGAAATTACAATGAGCAGACAGGTAGGGTTTGGGATTCGACCCATTTTATGCCTTGAGCTTCAGGTTTTTTTTCGTTTTTGTTTCTGATGAAGAAGCTGAATGGGTGATTGTGTGTAATTGTTTCAAATGGGGTTTTATAGGGTTTTGATGGGTTTCTTTGTTCAGACTTTCAGAAGATAAGTGGATGAACTTATTGCCAAATGTTTGATTGACTTTGACTATATCAGAGAAGAAGAGGCAAATAGAACAGAACCAATGCCAGGCTTGTTCTTGTTTGATATGAAAAGTCAAACCTATTTTATTGTACCAATTTGAGCCTAGGCTAGCTGGTGATTGGTGGTCTCACCTTCGATTTAAGATCGAGGAGTTTTTTCATGGATGTAGATTTTCGCTTCATGGTTAGTCGATTATTATTTTATACGATTACTTACAATGATGAGTTAATTATTGTTGTTATATCACCGTTATCAATAGTGATGAATCGTTGGAGTCCACAACCTATAACAGAAAGAAAATATAGCTCATTACAACTTTTTCAATCGAAATGAGATTTATGGTTCAACTACGATTTCTAAATTCTTATCAATCCAAGTAGTACTTACGCACCCAAATCAAATTGGGAATTCAAATTAAATCTCTAATTCCATCTTTGAATCCTAGTCCTAGAAGGATCACTATCCCAAGAGGGATTCCTAGTCCAACTAGACTAGATTTTGGCTATGGCATTGGCACATTACCAATGACTTATAAGCTCATAAACAATAAGTGGATCTAACAAATATATCATTGCCATAAGAGTGCTATGAAAGGTTTAGGATTTTCGAAATCCTAACTTATGTTCAAGCAAAACTCAAGGCAATATCTCATAGTTCTTAATGCTTGATAATGTTTATTAGTACGGAGTAATCTAATCCAACAAAATGTGAGAGACCACACATTTCATACAATACTGTCAAAAGGGTATAGAGATATATATATATCACTATTTTTCGAAGGATAGTCGAATCATTTTTTTTTGCATTGTAAAGTCATTTACATTCTTAACGGTACATCCAAGAATCACTATCTTATTATACACTTGGTCAAATGCCACGAATCATAATCTTAGAGTATACAAGTAATGTTTAACATTCCTTTTAAAAATATCAAGTTGAGAGACAACAACACATTCGATCGCTGTGAGAAATACTAGTAAAATTTGATTGGTTTGTTTGATACAAAAAGTAAATCTGTTAGATTCCAGGCATGGGGCAAGACGCAAGCAGCTTCAGACATGTTCTTGTTTGATTGGTTTGTTTGATATGAAAAGTTAACTTGTATTGTTGGCATCGTTGTTTGAAGTATGAAGTATGATTGATCTTGATCTTGTTTTTTTTTTTTTTTTTTTTTTGCCAAAACACTCCGAAATAAAATAACGAGATATGAATATCATATGATCTTCGCTAGTCAAAGTTACGGAAAAAAAAGAATGTATGCTGGTCAACAAAATGTTAAACTAATAATAAGAGGGTTTGTATTTCTTATGATATGAGCAAATCCTATTTTACATACGAAACATGAAATGAAATGAAACACGCTAGAGATTAGTTCATCGCAACACCTCGACTTCTTTCAGAATTGCACGTCGCAAAGCATGAGCCAAATCTTGGACCTTACACATATTTATTTGAGCCTTAAACTGATCTTCGAACTAACACGAGACTGGACTGAGATTGGGGATTTGGGAGATATAACGTTGGGCTTAAAAATTACAGATTGGTCCAACTGTGACATCCAGCGGTTGTACGAAGATAACGGCCCAAAGCCCTAATCGATGCCTTCGTCCCAAACTAGTATTATGGGTAGTTTGGTTTTCATGATTGTTTGGTTGAGATCAAGGTTGTCAACCCGCGGGTTGACCCGTACCCGGTCGAGTTAGTGGGTTAAGAGTTAATGGGTCAACCATTTTAGCCCGGTTTGGCCCGGAAATATGAAAAGAGTCATTATATTGTATTTATCCTCATAAATTATATCAAATCTTATCTAACATATGAGTTATAACATATAATAGTACACCAAAATAACATATCGTACTTAGATAGATATGGGTAGAGTTTGATGGATTTGTACCCATACCCATTTACTTTGGTTTAGGTTGGGTTTATAAATTATAACAAATGGATTTAGGTTTGTACCCATGCCCAAATACAAATTACAGTTTGGTACCTAAACTTAATAGATATGCATATATAGTACCTAAATTTAATTTTTTTTGCATATAAGTCTCAAAATATCGATAGACAATTACGTTTTGGTACCTAAATTTTTTTTGTCTTACATTTTGGTACCTAAAATTTTCAAGTTTTACAAATAGGTCCAATTTTTGCATATGTAGTTACAACACCCTCAAGTAAATGGATATCCATATCCAATCCATATCCCACCCATACCGATTTAGATTATGGAAGCAATATCTATACCTTACCCAAACCCATCTACAAACCCCCCAAACCCATATGCACTTCACCCATACCCAACCCATTATCAATGGGTCTACTTGAGTTTGGGTATAATTACCCATGGATGGGTAATTGCCATCCCTAATCATCTATTTAACTATCACCAAAACCAAACGACCCCTATAATTCGGTTGTTAGGTGGTACAAATTCAGTTGTGATTTTTATCTTGGATTTGCATTACTACCTTTTTTTTAACAAGGAAGGAAAGAGTGTTATACGCGCTTGTACTATGCTCTAAAGTATTGGAGTTTTGAGGTATATATTGAACTTGTGTCATAACGTTAAACATTAACGTATAAATTTAGTTTATACTATAAAAGAATTTGTACTTATATGCTATGAATCAAGTTCAGTTTGTATAAAATATAGAGGTACAAATTCAGTTAGCACTATAAAAGAATTTGTATAAAAAGGTATAGGCACAAACTTAATTTTGTACCATAATTGTATAAGTTCAATTTGTACCATAATTGTATAATTAAGTTCAATTTGTACCCTAAACTATTTTTCTTGTAAACCAAAACGTTCATACCATAAAAAGTTGTAAGATCCCTCGTCTTATTTAGGCTAGTGTTGGACCTTTTGACATAGGCGAGAAGGAAAAAAAAAGAAGGAAGAGTTTGAGTCGTGGCTCTTCATATTCAGAGAATTGTTTTGATGGGTTTAGACCTACTTATCACGATTAGAGAACCTATATTGTACTGACGGTCTAACTATAAAATTTGAAATTTCCCCCGATCTATATTCCCCCTAATCTCAAATTTCCTCATGTGTTCTACTCTAGTCCAACCTTCATCCTTCGACGAATCCTATCCTTTTACACTCCCTCTTGTTACATTCCCGTCTTCTTTCTTTTTATACGTTCATGACCTTCCTAAAACAATAAAAAAAAGTCTTTGAATGTGTCATTTGAGATTGAATATCCAGACTGGAAATGGACATTTTGTAGCAATCTATCTACAATGTGGTTGTGACATGACGTGACAAGAATATTGAAGGCGACTTGCGACCATAATATGGTTGACTTATAGCTCTGCTGCTTGAACAATTCAATCTGCCAATGCACTAATCTGTTGAATATGGTGGGAAGCTGCCGGTACAGTGTGACAGACGCCTAGAAATTATTGGTGGATGCTAAGTTGAAAAAATTGTACACTTTGGGTTGAAACTTTATGTACACAAAGCTGTTTAAATACCACCGACGCCAGAATTATTAAACGACATTTTCTCAATAAATTGGAGGTATTGTTGATTCCTGGATTGTATCAATGTTATTTGGCAAATGGGGTATTTGGATCCAAATTTTACGTAATTTTACGTACCATAGCATATGTTATTTAGTGGGTACTATTATTATATATAAATTTGAAATAGTGTTACGGTTGCATAAATATTCACATTTTGATACCCCAATTTAATTAAATCACAACTTAGTCATTATAATATATATTTTATATTTTGATACCCGAAATTTAATTTTAAGCTGAAGTTTGGTCACCGACTCACCGTTGCATAAAAATTTATATTTTGATACCCCAAATTTAATTAAATCACAACTTAGTCACTATAATGTACATTTTACATTTTGATTCTCCAAATTTAATTTTAATGTAAAATCATTGAACAATTATGTTTTGGTATTTACATTTTATGAGATTTTCATACTTATATTTTTTTAAAATTTACATATTGGTCCATTTAGATTTCACTTGAATCCAATCCACCAATCCTTTTGAACGAACCAATCCATGAATCCAATCCACCATAGCATAAAAGTATAATAATAATGTGAAATATTAAATAAATCATAAAAGAGAAACTACTCTAAAATAAATGAACGGTTCCATACACGACTCACCAACAGTCTAGAGAAAAAATAATTGAACCATGAACCACTAACTTTTTTAGCTCAATATCAAGTCCAATTAAAAATAAATATATATGGTTATTATTTATTAGAAAGTCATCATTTTCTACTATGGGATTTGAAGGCATGCAATTTTAAGCGAGTTCTAGTTTGTATTCCTTTTGCTTCCGTCTAGAGTTTTTCTTTTACACCCGTGCTAGAATTTTCGACAATTATACATAGAATGTTTAACTAGATATTTGCACATATCAAATAAATAGTTTTCATTTTTCTATAAAAAGTAAATATTTATCATCTTAAATACATCACCGTAAAATGAATTAAGTCTCAACTATGCAAATTACAGTTCTGTACCTAAACTTAATAGATCTTTATATTTATAATGTAAATTTATTTTTTTGGCATATAAGTCCTTACATATTGATGGAACATTACATTTTAGTCCCTAATTTTTTGTGTATTACATTTTGGTACCTAAACTTTTGAAGTTCTCCAAATAGGTCTAATTTTTGTATGTGTAATTAAAACACACTCGAATAAATGGGTATCCATACCCAACTCATAAACATTTAGATTATGGAAGTAAATATTCATAACCTACCCAAATTCATTTACAAACTTCCAGACCCATATATGTCTCACCCATACCCTACCCATAATTAATGGGTTTACTTGGGT